GAGCCCTGCAGGACCTGAAACCCCAGAAAGCTGCTTCGTCGTCTTCTGCAAGCCACCATAGCAGCCACAAGAAACGCAAGAACAAGAACAGACACAGGTACCCGATCTCCAGCAGGCCCTTGGGGTCCAGGATATAAGATGGTTCTTTACTTACAAACTCATTCTGGCTGATCCAGTGCAAATTGAAACGGACTGTTATTTGATTGTGAAATGTTTGATGTAATGTCTTGTGGACACATCTGAGTGAATATGGGAGCAGTTATAAATGAACATATTCATAGATGATTATGGTAGCCACATATCTTTTCTCAAACGGGAGGGTGTTACTTCAGATTCATAATGCTGTGGCTCTTGCTCAGCCGAGTTTGCTTTGGTTTCTCTTTTTCAGTATCTTTACCAGCTCTTTCCTCTCATGTAGATCCAGCCTAAAGTCTCTTACTCTGTCCTGATGTTTATCTGATGCTGTTCTGGTTCACTTCAGACCGGTTTGATTAGAGAAGATGCTGTCCATTAGATGGACAGAAGGAAGATTTTGAGAAGTTAGTTTTCTTTGATTCAGCCCAGAGTGTTTATGGGTCCTACTGCGTTTATAGCTGATTTTTGGAAAGTTATGGATTGTAAGGTTTGATATTAAAAGTGTTTCAAATTAACCTTAACCTTAAAATTAACTTTCATGAATAAAGACTGACCTGTTTGTCTGTATTTTTTTTAATTTTTTTTTATTATTTTTTTTAGGAAATACATAATTGTATTGTTTCTTAAAAACAAAATTCAGACCCTTGCAAATTTTTATTTTATTGTCATGCAGAATAAACACAATTTGCTGCCACAATGAATATTTGATGAATGAAATTTTATGTTTTAACTGAATCAAAAACTATATTTTGCTTAAATTTGAAATGAATTACTTTTGAATAATTTCATGTTCGTTACATATCCCAGCTGTCAACAAGACTGATGTAATGCTTTTAAATTGCTCTTCAAACCCATGTCTTGATCTTTCTGGCTTTCTTTTGGAAACTAATGGTTGCATCCAGAATCACTTCATATGAAATAAGATGAGCACTAGTTAGGGTCCTATATTTACTAACACCCTAGAGAGGATTCGTTAGTGTCTGACCTGTTGAGCTTGTTCATCTAGTGTACTTCTGAAGGTATAAACCCACGCATTCACACGCTATGTAGTGGACTGTGGGACTGATGTGCTGCTCAGTGTAGTGCACTAACCTCTGATGCTCTCTTCTTTCCTAACGCTGCCCCCTTCAGCCCTTCTGGCGTGTTTGATTATGACTTTGAGTAAGTCTCAATTTTACTTCCTGTTTCTGACTCCAGTGTCTTCTGTCCATTAGCTGCGTAGGGCTGTCCACATCATGTGGAAGAATGCTGTGACGCTTGCTTCTACCTGATAATTCGCAGATGTTGCTGCAGTTTCCTTTTTGCTTTTGTTTGGTTTTGCATTTTTTATTTTTCAGCTGCATGTTTGTGGAGCTCATAGACATGGTGTTTTTTTTTTAGTTTGTTGCATGCAGGGTTTTAATCAAGTTAATTTGTTTATCTGACCGTGATGGGCCGCTTGTTAATTCATATTTTCTCCTTACAGATTTGACATGAAGATGAACAAGAAACCCAGAGCGGTAAGTTCAGATGTACTCAAATATGTTGTGTGTACATATATTTGTAGATATTGTAGTCATGTTTTGGTGCTGTTTTCATCCATTTTTGCTGCTCAATAGAATGTTAATTAGGGGTGTGCACAAATAGTCAGATTATTCGAATACTTGATCTGTAATTATTAGGGATGCACCGATACTGAGCTCCTGTACTTGTACTCATTAAAAAAACTTGTAAAATACATTGTAATGGGCATAATTAAGTGTGAAAATAACCGAAGGATATACAGTCAAACCAAAAATTATTCAGAGAATAGATATAATTTTTTATTATTTTTTTTACTAGTGGGTGCAGGACTCAATAGTTCAGTGGTCGCCAACCCGTCGATCGCGATCGACTGGTAGATCTTTATCACTGTCCCAGTAGATCCCGAAAAAACCCCAGTAAAATAAGTACAAAAATGCATTACATTTATGGGGTTATATTAATGTATCACTGAAGGGAACTGTCTTGAGAAAAGTTTCGATGGCAATGGCATTTTCTTCTCTGTATAAAGCGCAACTCTGCGTGGTTTACAGCGGTAAACAAGGAAACGCTATAGTGCGGTCGGTTCATAAGCAGTGTTGCCAAATCCGCGGTTTTCCCGCGGAATTGGGCGACTTTAACACTGTTGCCACGGGTTGTTGTTCATGTCCGCGGGTTGAAGCGACCACAATAACGTGATATTTAGTCCCTGGAATACAAATTTTACTGGAAAATCCCCGCCGAAAAACGTGTATTTTACCCCCAGTGCGATTTTTACAGGGGAACCCTCTCCAAACGTTATTGGACTAGTTTTATTGCGAAAACCTGGCAACCCTGTTCATAAGCGCCACCTGCTGTCAGAGAGTGCGTCTCATTCAGACCTGCTGTTTTTGTTTCGTGCAGATGTTTTATGTAGCAAACAAGTAAATAACACCTAAAGTCAGACCATTCTGTTTTTGTTTTAAATCCTGAAATTAATCTAGATCAAATCAAAAACAACTGCCCGTGCAGATCGTGATTAAAATGCAGCGGTTGCCTCTAATTTCAAATGGCTAGATATTTTTGTTTAAAGCCAGTTTGTTTGTTATAAAGCAAATAAATAAATTTGCTTAAAAATCAGTATCAGAATCCAATTTGCTAGTTAAAAGAAAAGGAAAATCTGAATTCTGAATCAGCTATGATCGGCGCATCACTAATTAAAATACTAAGTAAAAGGCCTCAAATTTGAAGCACATTCTGGGATGTCTTTTTCTATCAATTCTTCAATAGGTAGATCTAGTCTTTCATAAAGGCTGAGGTCAGGGATCTTGGGCCTAAAAAGGTTGGTGACCACTGCTATAGTTCATTTATGTAAAGTGAGGATAGCAAAATAAACAAATTATACCCAAAAATTCTTCATACAGTGGACTACCAGTAAAACTGATACAAATTGGGACCAAAAATGATTGAAGTTGAGGTTTGCATGAAGCTGGGTGACAGCATGCCCAGGAGACTACAGGCTGTCATTGAGGCTAAAGGTTGCCTGACTAAGTATTGATAGTTGTGTAAATACTGTCATACTAACAGCTGTCTGAATAATTTTTGGTTGATTGTAATCTATTACATACCTTTCTATCAAAGTTATCTAACATTATCAAGCTGAATTTGTTCTGACACAGTTTAACTCTGAGTTCTTGTTATATTTTATTACAATTTTCTAAACTATAGAGAATAAACTGATAATGTGAGAAATGTTGAAGGTGTCTGAATAAATTTGGGTTTGACTATCTAATTGAAGTTAACCAACTAACATTATACATACTCTTTTGGTTTCTGTACCCAATATTTAAAAAATGTACAAATGCAATAAAGATATCGGTATCGGTACGCCGTATCGGCAAGCACCAAAAATAAAAGTATCGGTATCAGGCGAATACTGGAAGAAGTGGTATCGGTGCATCCCTAGTAATTATTATTTGAAAGAGAAAAAAAACTATTCGAACTTTACTAAGTGTTGATTATGCCATAAATCATGCTTGCCTTAAATGAAGGGAATCCATGATAAATCCTAAGCACAAAAAACTAGAATACATTTGGGTTTGACTATCTATTTGAAGTTAACCAACTAACATTATACATACTCTTTTGGTTTCTGTACCCAATATTTAAAAAATGTACAAATGCAATAAAAATATCGGTATCGGTACGCCGTATCGGCAAGCACCAAAAATAAAAGTATCGGTATCAGGCGAATACTGGAAGAAGTGGTATCGGTGCATCCCTAGTAATTATTATTTGAAAGAGAAAAAAAACTATTTGAACTTTACTAAGTGTTGATTATGCCATAAATCATGCTTGCCTTAAATGAAGGGAATCCATGATAAATCCTAAGCACAAAAAACTCAAAGGCAGTTATAACTAAATGCACTGGGTGGCGCTATTGAAAGTTTGGCGATGTTTAGCATGAGAATCCAACTCCTTAACTGTGTACAAGTCAGAATGCATGAAATAGCCTTAGACATCCCCTTTAAAGTTTCAATATGTAGCCGATGACGTCACTACTGACCAGTCAGTGAAAATCGTATAAAAACTGAATATTCTGTTTCTGCTTAGTGTATTGAGAAATATTTTGTTAATCTGATTAATAATATAATTAAATGTAAATTTCATCTGTAGAAGCTTTTACTTTTGTTTGTAAGACACTCTTATTATGTCATATCTGTATCCAGAGTGGTTTTCTCTGCATAATGGTTTAATTCTGCAGGATTACTCGGCCTAATGGATCCCGGATAATATTCACACAAACCAAACCTCTTCAGTCAGCTCCACTTCTCTCCGGTCTAGAACGTCTGGATCTTCCGCTGCATTTCTCCACTTTTGTGTTTGCTTCTTTCCTGATCGTAGTGAAGCTCTCACGTGATTTTTATTCTCTGATGGATTCAGATCCACCTGTTATTGCATGATATGTATTGTAGACATGAGGTTCCAGTTCTGCTCATAATGATGGAATCTTTTTATTTATGTTACATGGATGATGTATCAGTGGATCCAAACCTTTCCCTCCTGCTTTTGGATATCTTTCACTTTTGTTTTGTTAAACTTGTGTAGCTAATGTAAAAAGTTGGTCATGTTGTTACACTTTTTGTTGTTTTATACCATCTTGTTTTGAATAAAACTGAAATAAGACAATGGTCTGTGTTTGTTGAACAGTTCTTTAATTAAACTTTGTAACTTTCCATCATTTAGACTGGAATCATATTGATAAATGAGCATATTCTTGAGAAACATCAGGCTCAATACAAACAGACACATGAACCCAACACACCGAGTACAGGAACAAATGTAAATACAGGAGGAGCTCTGACATCACTGGAGACAGAGATTCAGGCAAGTGGCTTGATCAACAACCACATTGGCGCCTGAAACGATCAGCCTCTTTAAACAACAGAATATTTACTGAGCTGTTCAAAGACCCTTGTGGGACACATCTGATACTCGGAGGTAAGTGATAAAAATACAAGTCCGAAACAGTGTTCTAATGGAAATTAAATGGTCTGGTTTGATAGGTTAATGTCAAACTGGAATGCTTTGAACGGAGCCATGGGCTGCTAAAACTGGTTTTACAAGTTTGTACATTTTGTTTTTCTTTAGGAGCACTCATAACTTTTTTGTTTTTCTAAGTTACATAAAAACGTACATTGGTCCAATATGATACCGAAAAGTACGACTGATCACCCCCAACTAACTGCTATTTGGTCATACCAGTTCTTAAGACACTCTTAACATGGCTATATGTTTATGCAACATGCCCCAGGGTTGATCATGTCAAATAGTCTACTACTTTAGTTGTTTACTGCACCGAAATGGCATCAGTATTAAAAGTCATTTGGTTGGTTGTACAGCAAAGTTAGGTGTTTCTGTCATGTTGTCACATGACAAAGACTAAAGAAACATGAAGGATATATGACTTAGACACAAAACTGAACCTGCTACAAAGCTCAGGGCTGCCGACTCATGCAATTGACACTTTTCTCACAATCTTATGTCACACGTTCATTTTCTCAACTCGGTCCTGGAGGGCCGGTGTCCTGCAGAGTTTAGCTCCAACCCCAATTAAACACACCTGAACCAGCTAATCAAGCTCTTACTAGGCATAGAATCTTCCAGGCAGGTGTGTTGAGGCAAGTTGGAGCTAAACTCTGCAGGACACCGGCCCTCCAGGACCGAGTTTGGACAGCCCTGGGTTAAAAGTAATAGATAATAAATAAATAGTAATAGTAAAAGTAATAATCGGGTACTGGCAAAAGTTTCAGGAGTGACATATAAATCCCTCATCCCTCATATAAATACGGTATTCACTCATATGCTGATAACCATAGCAATGGAAGGGTGAAAAATGTAATTTGTCAAATCAGAAGTTCGTTAAAGTTTAGCAATGTAAATGCAGATTAATACATTAATAATATTTTTGAAATGCTGCTGCAATGATAATGACTTGAAAATCTTACAATTCTCTCGTTGCACATTATTATTCTTGCTGATATATATTTTTAACAAAACAAAACAAAACAACCCAACCAAACCCTCCACCCCACCCCTGGGGGGATTCCTCACTATAAGTTGAACTGAAAAGTTGGCAGTCCTTCAAAGTTTGGTGTGTCAGACACCTTATGAAGAGTGAAGAAACATGAAGCATGACTGTCTAAATGCAGACATGCTTAAGAAGATGAAATAAAACTTGACCTTTTTGTGTGTGTGTGTGTGTGTGGGGGGGGGGGGGGTTTTGTCAGAGAATATTTCAAAAAATTCTGTTTGTTTATTGTTTGCATTTAATATAAACAGCAGTTTTATGAGTGCATGGGTTTTGAAAGGAACTTTTCTCCTACAAAATAAAATGTTTACTACAATGAAATGCAATTAAATCTATTTCATTTGTAATACACTGCAGCTGAAAAATCACATTTACTTAAAACTAAATTATACCACTAATACTACCACTTGGCCATACAAAATGTTTGTTAATTTTAAGAGTAGAGTACTTTTCCTTTAACATAAACAGCAGTTATAGTTACAATTATAGTTATTATAATGTTTGTTGTTTTTTTTTGTTTATTTATTTGTTTGTATAGTTTTTTCCCCTTGAAATGTCATAAGGCATAAGTGAAGAACAATGGCAGAATCTTCCCCAACACCATCATATACACGAAAAAGGAGAGGGAGTATAGATGCTCCTCCATGTAAGTCAATAACCTAATTAGTTCTTATACTTTATCATCAACCACAGATTCAAGCTCTGCACATGTTGACTACACAAGTGCAGGTTATTATCAGCCACTCTATATTCATTTCTCCATCCAGTTATGTCATCCTCAAGTCAGCCTGAAGTTCTGTGTGACTTCTGTGAGGAAAGAAAGCTGAAAGCCCTGAAGTCGTGTCTGGTGTGTCAGAGCTCTTACTGTGAAACTCACCTGCAGCCTCATTTGAAAGTGGCAGGTTTAAAGAAACACAAACTGATCGATCCTGTGAGTTATTTGAAGAACTATATATGTCAGAAACACGAGAGACCTCTGGAGCTGTTCTGTAGAGATGATCAGACGTGTGTGTGTCTGATGTGTGCTGTGAAAGAACACAAGACCCACAACACTGTTTCTTTAGAAGAGGAGAGTGAAGAGAAGAAGGTAGAACTTATTAACAAAACTGCATATCATGAGGAATCACATTTTTATTTAACGATTTATTTTAAGTGAATCAATTATGAAAACATATTGTGTGTTGTTCTCTGTCTATAGACTCAACTGATGAATACACAGAAAGATGCAAAACAGATGATTCAGGACAGAATCAAGAAGATTCAAAACATCAAACACTCAGCAGAAGTCAGAAAAGTGAGTTAATTCAGTAAACATTAAAATATTTATTCTAGATCATTTAGTTGCAGTCCTCCAAGACTCCTGATATACAGTGCAGCACCACTGGGACTTTTCACTGTATCACTCATCTGTGTTTGTTCAGTCAGAATGTGTATTGGTCTTTGTCGGATGACATCAGACTACTAATAACCAAATTGCATTGTGGGTGTAGCAGCCTTTTTTGTGGTGGCCTGTGGTTGGAGAATTGTCTTTTCAGTTGCTTCCTTTTATCTGTAAAATGTTATGCTTGTGTTATGTGAAAAGCTGCAATAACAAGTCCCACGATGGGAAAGGCTGAAAACCTGACCACAAAGCAAAAATTTTCAGGTTTCCCATCTGGAAAACTGTAAGTGGGAGCAGTTAAGGAAAAACACACTGCAGCCAGCTGAGATGATGGCCCACCTGGCTGGAGAAAGTGGTCAGATTCACACTGAGGAAGGGACATAGGAGGCTAGAGAAAGGGGTCAGCAACCCACTGAAAAGGGGACACAACACCATTCAGTGCCACAAACTGAATGTAACTTATGTGTGCACAGATATGCAGATGCAAACCACCTGTTGGAAGAAAACTGACAGCTGACATACTTCGCATGTGATTTACTTATGCAGTAATGGTCGACTGATATAGGTTTTTTGACAGCTGATGCTGATATATCTTAGAGAGCAAGGTGGCTGATGGCACTATACAGTATATGTTAAGTTACAACTGTATTGTGTGCTGACAAACACACATATCAATTATAAGTAAATAATATAAGTTCTTATACTGTAAACAAGATAGTTAGCAATATGAGGTTGGAGGCAGTAATAGCAATGCGGGCCGGCACTCAATTTTTTGTGAAACTTTACAGTTCCATATCTTTTATGAAATTAACTCAGTATCGTATCCACTTGGCTTGTTTCTGCTTCTTCAGTTGGATTATTTAATTGATCTTTACTGTACCCTTTTTACTTGCACTTCATTGCTCAATGTACAGATGTTTCAAAATGGCGTCACACAGAAAAAAACACATGTGACTGACATAGACCTATTAATGATGGGGATTTTACAGTGACTCTTTCTGCAGATAACATCGTTACAGCAGTAGGTGCTGACAAGTGTTTTTGTTTTTGATTCATTCAATCAAATGATTTGTTCAAAAACACTTAAATCAGGAACGAATCATCGCTACAATGTGTTGTAGCTTTATTTTAAACTCTTTTTGGTGGTTGGAGCAAATACAGAAAAAGTCACTAAAATGCCAGTTAATTTATAGTAACTTCTTGTTTAATTATTGTGTTTATTCCACGTTGGTCTGAATATCGACACGGCTGTGATTACCTGATCACTAAAGAAATAGCGCATTTGTCTTCACCAAGACACATGATTTGAGGAATCATTGAGGATGAAGTTTAATACTTTGGTTGAGGGATTTGGAAAACTCTCTAAAACATTAAGCATGAGGAATAGTAACACTGATTCTTGCCTTAGCAAACACAGATAATAATTTGTTGAATGACTTGGTTGAGCAGAGAAACACAGAGGAGGAGAAAGCCGCCCGTGTTGAGCTCTTCACTGATCTCATCCGCTCCATTGAGAGATCTAAGTCTGAAGTGCTGGAGATGATTGAGGAGCAGCAGAAAGCAGCAGAGAAAGAGGAGCAAGAGCTCATTGAAGAGCTGGAGCAGGAGATCACTGAGCTAAAGATGAGAAACACTGAGCTGGAGCAGCTCTCACACACTAAAGATCACCTCCACCTCCTACAGGTCAGTGAACATCTCTCTGATCAGTGATAATGCAGTGCATGACACCATAACACTCCCCATGCTGAAGGATTTCTCCTCTCTCCTGCTGTAGAGTTACTCATCCCTGTCCAGCCCTGAAAACACCAGGAACTGCTCTGAGATCAGTGTGAAGACTCATAAGAGTCTGGAGACTCTGAGCAGAGCTCTGACTAAACTGCAGGACACTCTACATGAGAAACTTACTGGTGTGTCAATACATAAATTGATCAGATATATTCATGATGTTGTACACAATTCTTTAAATATAACCTTAAATGGGTCATGACACAAGAAATCTAATTTTCATTAAAATACTGACATATAAATGTGAAAGTATACTTCGGAAGTCAGGTTGTTCTGCGGATGGTCCGCATGCAGTCCAGTTTTTGTGTCTGCGTACCACCTCACAGGTGCAAGGTGAATGTTGAGACACTACAAGGCCACTAGGTGGTACATGGCCATCAGCGTTTAAGTATACTTTGGAAGTTGTGTGGAACATTACTTGGGCTTTAGCAGTGAGATACGAGAGCAGAAAGCTGAATTATAAGAGCAGTAGCACAACTGCACATAAAATATTGCAATCCAACTCAACATAAAGGCAGACATTTCAAAAGAGGACATGTTGGTGCATGTCCTGTGTGACTAGAATAGCAAGTCTTTGTGATGTACCGAGAGCCACAGTATCCAGGGTAATGTTAGCATACAACCATGAAGGATGAACAACATCCATTAGGAGTAACTGTCCATGCAAGAGAACATAAAGCTTGTCTGTAATTCCACATATAAAACATCTCAAAAATCTCATGATGTTTTATTGTCATGTGTTTCTACAGACCTGAAGTGGAACCAGCAGTGGAAGCAGCAGAATGCAGGTACAGTGTGCTGTCTGTGCTACACCAGTTTACATTCATATAGCCTACTCACAGCTTCATTAGTGCACTACAATCTGATTAAAAACTGAATTAAATATTAAAACATCATCACAAAATATCAAAACGTTGTGTCCATTTTGAAAATCACTATATTATCCACATTTGCTGTCGAATAGGTCACTCCAGACTAACCTATACCTTTTTGTTAATGGGTGAAAATTCTACTTTATTGCCCCTCTAGGAATCTTTATTTTTCAGTTGATTCTTTTGGGGAGAAAAATGTAATGAAGTGGGACCAGATTTAGATTGATTGATTTTTTTTTGATCAAAGATAAACTTTAAAAACCTCTTATAAGTTTTTTTACCTTTATTTTTTTGTTTTATCTCTCTCTCTCTTTCTCATCATGAATATAGTTATGGTAGCTCGCATGGCGTTAAATTAAAAACAATTAATTAATCAATCAGTCATCACAAAATCTTTGTATTGTGAAGTTGTGATTCATATTCTCTGTTTTCTCAGTGGATGTGACTCTGGATCCTGATACAGCTCATCCTAAACTCATCCTGTCTGATGATGGAAAACAAGTGAGACATGAAGACACTGAGCAGAAACTACCAGACAAACCAGAGAGATTTAATACATGTCCTTGTGTCCTGGGAAAGGAGGGATTCTCCTCAGGGAGATTTTATTTTGAGGTGCAGGTGAAGGAAAAGACTGAATGGACTTTAGGAGTGGCCAGAGAATCCACTGACAGGAAGGGTAAGATCACACTGAGTCCCAGTGATGGATACTGGACTGTGGTTCTGAGGAATGGGAATGAATATTGGGCCTGTGATGAACCCTCCATTTCCCTGCAGCTGAGTGTGACAAGTCAGCAGCTCGGTGTGTTTGTGGATTATGAAGAGGGTCTGGTCTCCTTTTATGATGTGGAGTCAGGCTCTCATATCTACTCTTTCACTGGCCAGTCTTTCACTGACAAACTCTATCCATATTTTAGCCCAGGCTCCAATAATAGTGGTCAGAACTCAAGCCCACTGATCATCACACCTGTCAGTTAAAATAAATGAATTTACACCCCTTATATAAAATACTAGATGAAAATAATTATTTTTATAATTAAAAATCTAAATACATTAAATAAATATGGTATGGGGTCTGGTATGTATTGTGTGTACTGCTATTCAAAAGATGCATTGTTTATATAATTTGTTTTTAAAATCTACTATAATTACATGTTTAGGTACAAAAAATATTTGTTTTAGAATATTCAATAAATTATTTTGTTGCACAAAATGTTCTACATTTGATGAAATTACCTTGATATATCATAAAACTGTATGATGTCCATATTCATGGAATATACCACACTACTTCAAGGTACCTAAAAATACCAAACCACAGTTTTAGTTTGAAGTGTCAAATCCACTGAGGAGCCCAGAGAATATCTGTAGACTTGTAGAGTCATGGTCAAATAATCCTGACTTGTGTTGTTTGTGTGTTATGTGTTTTTGCATTTCAAATAAAGCAAGATATTTTGTCTAGATGCTTGCTGTTTTAGACTCTGAAATGTCCTGATGGTTTACGGGTGTGTCATTCCTAGTTTGAGCTCCTGCATACTAACAGTTCAAGTATGTCAAACTATTTTCTCCCAAACGATGAACAGAAGAATCATTCTCACAAAGACAGGGACCAGACCTCAACTAGGCTACCTCATGTTTGAAAAGTTGAAAAAGTTTTAAAAGATGTTTTAAAGGAAGAGTAGCATTCTGTCATCATTTACTCATCATTGTTCCAAACCAGTGACTTTTTTCTGTGGATCACAAAAGGCGTTTAGAAATGTATACAAATATGTCTTCTTTGGTTCACTATATAGGCTATATACACAACACTTTAATGATAGAAACATTAGGCTCAATACAAACCGACACACATGAATCCAAACACACCGAATGCAGAGACAAATTTGAATGTGTAAATACAGGAGGAGCTTTGACATTACTGGAGTTCAGTGAGAGATTCAGAGAAAGTGAAACTAACTTGATCAGCAACAATATGGACGCCTAAACAACAGAATATTTACTGAGCCATTCAAAGATCCTTGTGGACCCATCTGATACTCTAAACAAAGCTACAGTGGGTACGGAAAGTATTCAGACCCCCTCAAATTTTTCACTCTTTGACTTGTTGGGTCTTTCCCAAAAAGACTCATGGCTGTATTCGATCAAAAGGGTGCTTCTACTAAATACTGAGCAAAGGGTCTGAATACTTAGGACCATGTGATATTTCAGTTTTTCTTTTTTAATAAATCTGCAAAAATGTCAACAATTCTGTGTTTTTCTGTCAATATGGGGTGCTGTGTGTACATTAATGAGGAAAAAAAATTAACTTAAATGATTTTAGCAAATGGCTGCAATATAACAAAGAGTGAAAAATCTAAGGGGGTCTGAATACTTTCCGTACCCACTGTATGTTCAAGCATGTCAAATGCTCCACTACTTCAGTTGTCACACGACAAAAAGACTAAAGAAACAGGAAGTAATTGACCTGCAGACTGAACACAAAACTGCTTCACTGCAGCTGAAAATCATGAAACAAGACCACAAGCTCTCATATCTACTCTTACACTGGCCAGTGTTTCGCTGACAAACTCTATCCATTTTTTTAGCCCATGCTTTAATGATGGAGGTAAAAACTCTAGCCCACTGATCATCACACATGTCAATTGCAATAAATGAATTTTCATCACTAATATGAAATGCAGGAATAAAATAATCCAGTGTATCACAGGACAAACACATACTGACACACACATTCATACTCACACCTATAGACAGTTTAGTTTCTAAAATTAACCTATGATGCATGTCTTTGGATTGTGAAAAAGAAATGATGGAAATCCAGTTATTATTATTTATGCTATTCCGTGACAGTATTGGTGCACAAATTACACACTTACAGCTAATGTTCACTAGGTGGCATTATATACTGAAGTACTGTAGAGATAGTCACATCCATAGTCATGGAAAACCTGAAAATATCAAATTTTTAAAGTGTGGCTTCATAAAACAGAAAGCTTGAAAATTAATCAAATGTATTTGATGAAAGTTATGTACATTTCTTTAGTGTATATGTATTTTCTAGCTAACTTAGCTAGAAGTTGTTCTTTGTGACTGATGTGTATGGAAAATAATTGTTTCCAATTTGAGGTTTCTTCAAATCTTTAAAACTAATTATGATCAGTGATGCCTGTACCCCTAATTGGATAAATATTTTAATGCACAGTTTGCCTTTTCACACATAGATGGTTTGAGTGGTTACAATGTTTAGTTCAGATGGTTTTAACAGAGACAGCAGAAGAAATGTTTCGTCCGCTGAGGATTAGTGTCTCCTGGGACAAACTAAGGCACAATTTTCATATTTCTTTAAACAGGGTGAGCTGTGTCTAAGGGAAGAGTCATGAGAATTGTTTTGAACTAATGACTACAGATTGATGTTTTTAAAAGGGGTTTTAAAAGATTGTTTATGCTCTGTCATGTTTTTCATTTTCACTTGAAGTAAAATAGGCAATTTGTACTCTTAAACTACACTTAAATCAGAATCAGAATCAGAAAGAGCTTTATTGCCAGGTATGAGGAATTTGTTTTGATGACAGAAGCTTCCACAGCACAAACAGATTACAGTGACAAGACAAGACAAGACAGATAATAAAAATAATAAAAATAGGATAAGTAAAAAGGAAATTACATTATACAAAAAAATATTTAAAAAATACACAATATACAAAGTATATATATATATATATATATATATATATATATATATATATATATATATATATTATTTATTATTTTTTTTTTTTTACTTTGTTAAGTATGAAACTGCTAGCACCTGTTAGCAGTAGCAGCCCATTACTCCTCACTTAAAACACTGTGCTAAAGGACATATTATCTATTGTAATCTTACAGTAGTAATTTAGCAGACAAATATTCACATCGTTTTTAGAATATGTTTAAAGGGAGCAAGGGCAGACAACTACACATCCATTACAAAAATTAACGATGGTTACTTTTCGGAAGGGAAAAGTATGACTCATTATAATGCAATAACATATTCAGTACTAGGATTTTACTATAAAGATATTGTAATGATGTAATATTTATTGTAATAATTTTGACATTTAGGCCATTTAGAAAATATCAGGAGAAATGAAGAGACTAAAAGGAAAATGGAAGGGAAGGTGTAGTTCAGGAGAGAACTTTTAATAAATGTCCCCAGTCTAAGGATTAAAAAAAAAATGTGACAGCCGTACAAAAAAAAAAAGAAAAAAAAAAGGGTTGTCCTTGTTTCATATTTTTTTGTGGGTGTATGGGATGTCCTGGATGAGTGTGAGATTTCTTGGCCTGAAATTTTGTCCCTGGATGTATGTGGAAAATTTGATTACTGGTGCGTAATTCTTAAAGTATTGAGCTGCTGGGACCACTACACCCGTACTAAGGTATACCACCTGTGCTTCCTGTTCTTTGTACTTCAACTTCAATTAAATTTAATTCAAGTTTATTTGTATAACGCTTTTTACGATATAAATCGTTGCAAAGCAACTTTACAGCAAATTAAGTTTCTACGATATTTAGTGGTAGCTTATCAGTGGTGACTGTCAGTTAATGTACATATGGCAGAAATGTACGGAAAAATCAATTAAAGACCTAATCAAACAGACGATGAACACTATTAACAGCAATTATTATATGATGCAATCAAACTTATAGCAAAAAGCACTTCCTGCAGTGAGAAACCTGTAATTCTGGCATTATTCATTTTTGGAAATGACATGTTCCATAGTCGTGTTTTAGAGCTGTGTGTCCTTATTTGGGTAAAAGTCAGAAATTTGGCATCTGGTTAAGAGGCAAAGAGTGAAGTAAAAATAAATGTTTCACATGAGATTTAAAAATCAAGCATAACTAAAAGCAATTATTAGAATTAACTTCACATGGAGGACTTGTCCGTTGTTGTTAGGAGACAGAAAGTGCTTAGCGATGTTAGGTTGACATGATATATTCAGGAGTATTAGCTTAAACTTGATATCTTTTATCACAGAAATTTTGTCTCAGAAATTCCAGGAGCCCCCGTATATGACATGTGGGGGAAAAAAATAAAAATGTGTTCCCGCAACATATTAATTAGTTAAATCCATGTATTAAGGATTTATTATTTGGGAAAACATAATCTGACTGAACCTCAAATGATATTTGAAAGCTGTCATATATGTTACAAACTAGGGATGCAACGATACCATTTTTTCAGAACCGATCAAAAATTCTGAGTATCGGCCAATTCCGATCCGATACCAGCGCAGTTTGTTTTTTAAATCAATGTAGAATTTCTATACTTCTGTTGGTTGACCTGATCATCACTCTTGTTTGTGTTAAACACAATCTGCTAAATATAGACAACTTCATTTTAATGAAAAATAACAAATGAAAAAATATATCATCATAATCTATGACAAAAAAAATACTATTATAGGTTAGTGGATAATTCAGCAGCAAAAGTTATTCTAGAAAAATCATGGGTGCACAATCATTTTATAAACACATTAAACTAAACTATACATTTAGTGAAACAACATTATTTAGTGGGGAACAAATAAAAGTTCATAAGTGTAGGACTAAATCTGGTAAAATGCAACACATTGCTCTTTGTATTGTTGTAAAATACATTCATGAAAAACAAGTAGCCTAAATATATGTATAAAATATATAGGCCTACTATAAAATTAAAAGACATTTCTTTTAAATGCATAGCACAGTAATGAAAGCAGCAACATATGATAGATAGAACAGAACAAAAAAGACTATTGATACACTTGAAATATAGTGCACGAAAACGTTATGGTGCTTTATAATGTTTTTGTGCCTTTCGTGGGGCTTAACAATAACACAGAATAGTTTACGCACTATATCGGATTTGGATCGGTCTCGTCTGACCAATGCCCGATCTGACAGAAAATGCCAGTATCGGAGCCGATACCGATACTGATACCGATACTGAGTATCAGATCGATGCATCCCTTTTTATGAAAGGACATACAACAGCAGGAGCAGTTTTACAGAAGGTATTCATGTGCAAAAATACATCAAACATCTG